GTCACTGTCCTGGCACCGCAGACAGAGGCGGGCAGACTCAGTGCATTGGCTGGCATTTACCCAGCCMGCTGGAGCCACAGCCAGGAGAAGCCTTAACCCCTCCACACCTGCACCCGAGTGGGCAACTACACCTCACCGGGAGAGGATAGATCCCAAAACCATCAGTGACCTGCTTCATTGCCTCCCTCTTTGCATGCACCTGCACCAGGGACAGAGTTGAGCTCATTCTTCCACCAATTCCTCTGAAACAGAACTGGKGTTTTCCAGGCTCTGCCAAGAGTCATAACCAGCTCTGGACTGGCTGCTGCAGACMGGTAAAATTTCATCTCCTTTTTCTCTCGCTCACTCCAGAGCTCTGTCCATCACTAACAGGGACCAGGACAGTCTGCAATCCACTCACTCCTTCCTCATGGTCCTTCCTGAACAGCCCATGGGTACTTGCTGGCTTTCACTGCACAGAACCTGAGCAGGGGAGAAGCAGTTGCCTGGCTATTATGTGCTCAGACAATGGGAGAGCACAGCACTTATTCAGAGAATCCCTTGCCTTCCCCCACTACCCTGTCCTCCCTGTTTGCCCAGTCAGAGYCTTTTCCTGACCCCCTCAACCGATCCTCCCTCATTAGCACATGACGTCCGTCCCACGGCACCTCCAGGCTTGGCCGCAAAGGCTGCGCAGGGATCCTCGCCCTGGAAGGAGGGGGCAGCAACAAAAACAATTCACTCGTGGGAGAAGCTGTAAGGTGAAATACAAGTCACTGGCTGAAACCTGTTTCTGCTACCTCAGCAGGGGAACGACTCCAGGAGAGACTCCAAGACTCCCCACTTAATATCCTCAGCTTATAAAACTTGGTGGGAGTTTCAGCACCGGCTGCTGCAGGGCCAGGTTTTCACCCTCCTTCTGCTGAACTTGCACCTAGAGATGGAGCGATTTGCCTGACACAAGGAGCAGCCACGCTGGGCTCCAGGGCTCGTGCCTCCTCGCCGACTTGACCACAGGCCACCTCCGCTTCCACTGTTCTGCCTTAACAATGAGGCACCGCAGATGGGCAATAATGCTGTGCCGAAAGCATTAGATCTATTCTGACCAGAGAGAAAAAGCCCCCCTGGGACCTGGCTAACCCCCTCTTTTAACAACGTGAAACAAGAAACAAAGGTCTGGGATAGCCAGAGGCAATAAAACCCCTGGAATTCATTTAACCAGTCACTAGATGCCAGTGCAGCTGCAGCAGTATTTCTTTTCTTAATGAAGGACAAAAGATAATTCCAGCTCTGGCCCAGGGCAAGGCTCAGCTCTGGTCTCCCCAGCAGAATCTGGCATGCACCAGGATGTCACAATCCCTCCACAGCACCCAGCAGCAGTGGGACATGAACCTGGCTGCTGCCCCTCGCCCAGATGGAGATTTGCAGGAGCTGCAGGGGTAGCTGGGGCAGGTCAAAGCGAAACGCGGCACTGGGCACSTCTGGTTCACGGTCCAGGGTGGCAAAGGGAGCTTTCAGCCTGAACTAACCACACGTGGTTTTTTTCCTTGCAAACCCATGTATTTTTCCACACACAATTCTCTGTGAACCCAGAGAATTCACACTGGCAAGGCCCCATGGAGGTGAGCTGCTCTGCTGCTCAGCAGTGTGCAACAATCCACCAGCCTCCTGCCATGCTCCCAGCCCGAGAATCCACCAGGAGCTGCTTTCTCTGGGTGAGCTGTGATTTTGCAGCCCACAGTCACAATGCCCCGGCCCGTCTCTCCCAGCGGAAGAGCTCTGTGGCTTTAGTCATTCCTCACACGGAAACCACCAACGCTGCTGGCTCCCCACCTTCCATGGGCAGCCCAGCCTGGGGGCTCCGGCCATCCCAGGGCTTTCTGCCTCTCCCTGCACCTGCAGGACCGCCCCATCACCCCCAGCTTATTGCAACTTCCCCCCGCCACTGGTTTAAACACACAGCCCCCCCAAAATGGGAGTGAGGGAGCCTTGCACCCCTTGTACTGGGGCTGTTTCAGACCAGCAGGCTGAATGCAAAGYCGCCCCTGCTGCGCTGTCTGGAGTGGCTGAGGATAAGGTGGGTGAGATGGGTATTACCCCCAGGGTTCACCTCACTCCCCAAAGCTGCTGAGAGCTGGACAAACCTGGGGACCCAGCGAGAGCCCCCTCCTGCTCTGCAACCTCCTGMGTGCAGTGGGTGTCCCCTATGGCTTGGACAAACTGCTCCCTGGCCACAGTCCCCTCCTGCTGCYGTTCCCGTGGGATCCTGCTCTCCCCTTCTCTCTCCAGGAACTGCCTCGGGATGCTGGGAACAGCCTGTTCCCTCCTGGCTGGCCGGGAGCACCTGCCCTTCCCACGCCTGCCCTGGAAACACCGCAGCACCGGGGGGCCAAGGAAACCCTGGGGACAGCGATCCTGCGTGGAGCAAACCCATGGGAGAGAGGCAGCAGAGCGGAATGGGACACACTGCAGAGAGCCCCGTCCACCCTGCCTGCGCTGGCTGGGGACATTGTGCTGCTGGGGGGAGTGTCCCTCTGACCAGACGTCAATTTGAGCTCAGTGATGCCCTGGTGGGTGTTTGTGCAGGCAGTGAGCTCGCGTGCCCAAGACAAATCCCAGAGAGGTAGTTGCAGCCCACTCATCTAAAATCATCCTTAAGCAGTCAGCAGGGCACAAGAGCCATGGCTGTCCCCTCCTGGAAGGCCCTGGGGACCACGGGCTGCATCTCCCCAAACTCCCACTCCTCCTGGAGGCTGGGCCTGATGGGGTGCGCTGAGTGCTCAGTGTTGGATGAAAGGGGGCTGCTGAAACGGCCCGTGTTTATGACTTGCAATAAAGCAACTGCTTCAAATCCCAGCTGCACAGGCAACTGTTGCTGCTGGCACGGTCAGCACGGGGCTGTCCGAGTGCCCGGCCGGGAATTCTGTGAGATCCAAGAGGGGAGCAGGCAGTGGCAGCCAACACAATCGGCTCAGGTCCTACAAAAGCACGGGCCCTTCCCTCACACAACGGGCAAACGCCCTTGGAAGCAGCAAGCCAGCATCCCCAAGGGGATTATTTGGCTGTGGCGTGCTTGGGGGTGCTCTGTGCCCAGAGGATGGTGGCTCGGGGAGCACATGGTCTCATCACCATCCACAAAAAGATTACTGTGAGATGCCAAGATAATCTGGAATGCTGGGGTTGAACCTCTGCCTCTTCCCCTCATCTTGCTGCCTGCACAGGGCAGCTCCCCAGCACCACTCCATCCTGGGAGCACCACGGAGCTGCGATGTGTAAGAGTTTTGTGATGCTGGCCCATTTAAACTGGCACCGTGGTGCCAGAACAGACCTTTCATGATCCTGAGATGATTATTTCATCCTTCACAGGAGGAACAGCYTCACACACGCATCCCTGCTTCCAAGGGAAGCAAATATTTGCACCCCGCTGGGATTATGGTTAATGAGAAATTTGTGGGTCCTTTACRCACTGACAAATTGTCCTCATTGATAGAATGGAAGAAGAGGAAGCAAATCCCTGTGATACCATCCCCCAGTTGAGCTCCACATCGCCTTTCGTCTCTGCAATAATCAGGCAGCACCGGGAGCTTCAAAGCTCCGCTGAGCCCTGCGCCGACGAGGCCACGCAGCTGCGCCGGCCAGAGCCTCCCCGGCACTGCTCCCGCACCTCCAGGACATGAAAGACCCCGGGAGCAGCTACACCGTGCTCTACAAATTGTAACAAGAGAGCTTGGAACATTTGCAGGTCCCGCTGCAATGCCACCAGCAGCAGGTTCCTTTCTGCCCAGCCTCTTAAACATCCCCTGAGCCTGTTGTGTCCTTTGGCCCCATGACACCAGAGCCAACAGCAGCTTTTTGGGCAGAGCAGGTTGAAGTGACACTGCTGGTGATGCTGTTCATGCCACACCTGCAGCTCTCCCGTGAGCTCACTTCAACAATAACAGCAAAAATGCCTCTGGTGATAGCGAGTCACTGAGCAGACACTACAGAAAATTCTATTTATACTCCCAAAATTCATCTCCCCACATTASTAACTTTCTTCCAGTCTTGCTATGATTTGGGCTATAAATGCTTTACTTGTGCAGGAAGGAGCTTCTCTGAAGGTATCTGGTGTGGTGTTCTCTCCCCACTGCCCTGGCAGTGCCTGCCCAGCTCTGCCCGATCTCACGGGCTCTGTTCACTCAAGGGCGTTGCAGCCCCATCCCTGCCAASGTCTTGCATCCATGTGGCCCAAGCCATGGACAGGAGTTTGTCTCTCTGTCCAAGAGACATYTTTCCACAGAAGTGCTATAGGAAGGGAAAGCATTTCCCTGGGATCTGCCTTGGGTGACTTCCCAGGCAGACCAGTGCTGGGAGARGCAGGCTGGACAGCATCGCACGGACCCCCGCCTCCTCGCGCCTTCCTCCCCGGCACACACAAATTAATGACTCTGTGCGTGAAAAGATAAATAAACAGAGCCCGGACTGGCCTCCAGCCTGCCCTCCRGCCAGGCGCGTCCCCGCGCAGGGACATCCCTCCCGCGAGGGTCCCGTGGGGTTTCTCCCGCTCGCAGTGAGACATCAGCGGCACGGGCACGGCGTGAACTCCCCGCGGCCCCGGACCCCGCGGGGACCGAGCAGGATCCTCCCGTCCCGTCCTCTCGCTGCGGGCACACGAACGCCGCCGTCGGGGACACCCAGGCGGGCACCGCGGCGCGTCCTGSCTGGGGATGGGTCGGGCAGCGCCAGTCGGAGATGGGGCACCCAAGGCGGAATGCGCCGGTCCCCGTCGGGGATTGGGGTACCCGGGACCGGGAGCGCGGGTCCCCGCCGGGGAYAGGGAAGCAGCGGGACGGGCAGCGCCAGGGCACAGCACATCCCCGTCCCGGGTGAGAAACGCCACGGCGAGCACTGCGGATCCCTGCGGGGTCTGGGGGACACGCGGGCGGAGGCGCCGAGTCCCGTCCCGTCCCGTCCCCAGCGCGCCCGCAGGTGCGGAGCGGGCGGCAGAACGGGCAGGGCAGCCCGCAGCCCCRGCAGCTCACCTGCCTCCGAGACAATGCCGAGCCAGAGCCAGAGGGGCAGCGTGCAAACTCTCCTCATCTCCGGGGCTGCCGGCAGGTCCGTGCGATGCGGAGCGGTGCGAGCGCCCCGCGCCCGAGCTCTGCTCCCGCCGCGCCCCAGCTGCGGCGACGCGCGGCGGCGGCGGGCGGGGAGCACCGGGGCCGCTTCCTTTTCCTCCGCCCGCCCGGGCCGCCCGCCG